AATTTCATGAAATGAGTAAATAAAAATAATATTTAACTAGCTTATAATCTTTAAAAAAAATGATTTGCAGAAAATCTATTAATTAAAAAGGACACACTTACAGTATAAATCTAAATCTCAACGGAGTGGATGCGGAATTGATTTTGGATTCGTGTAGAGATAAAATCATTTTCGATTGGCTTTCTTTGTTGGTTCAGGGAGAAAACATATATATAGACACACACGGCAGAATTGATGAAAGCTAGCCATAGCACAAATTCAATCAAGTATAACAAAAGATTTTGAAATAATTTCTCGAATTTTCTATTCTGCACCAAAATAGAACAAGAACTCAAAAATGTAATTTGTATCATATCTGTGTACGAAATTCATGTAAAAGGTCTCACATCTAGGGTGACTTGAAACTATGAGTATCAACATCTTTCTTCATAGAGCCACTAGTTGAGAAATTATTCATTACATTTTTTTAATTTTTATTAGTAGACTCAAAAACCAAACAAGATCAAAATCCTCGCCCAAAAAAAGAGACTATTTGGCATATTTTAATAAAATTATCATTTTTTATAAAAATGGCTAAAACGTATGGTTGAAAATTGGTAAAAATTGTGAATCCCATAAAATATGTGCTAAAATTAATTGTTAACTTCGATTGACCTTTTTTATGTATATTGGATGTGTGATCAATATATTCCAGCTACAAATAAGAAATAAAAGAAAAAATTGTTTTATTTGGAATAAACTAACACAATCCTATCCGATTTCATAAAATGTTTAATTAAAATTAATTACTAATTTGAAATTAAATTTTTTATCAATTTTTTAAACTAAAGCAAACCGAGACTAAGTCAAAATCCTAACAGTTTCCATGATCCTTCCTTCGTTACAATATATTTTGTTATTTGTCCTTATTAATAAATACTTTACGGTTGTGATTATCTTATAAAAATTTGATTTGATTTCATTGACGAAGACCAAAAGGCTTTAGTGCGTATCCGAGTTGGCTTCATTTAAGATGTAGATAGATGAAACCGACCCAAAATTTTCTGGAAAAAGTTAAGATGCAAATAAGCAACAAATCAAAATTCTTATAATTTAATTTCATGAAGAAGAAGACCAACCAATTCCTGGAAATTATGGTGCAATATCACTTGCTTTCTTGGAAATTATGTTTAGCATGGACACATCTGTATTCACTTTGTCGAAGACGAAGACCAACCATGAATGTCTTGGAAATTAATGTGAAAATAAATAGTAAGGCTGTCCGTGGGTCGGTTCGGTTCGGTTCTGAAGAGACCCGAATTGACCCAAAACTTTCGGGTATTTAATAAATGGACCCGTCGGTCCAAATATAATTGTGGAACCGTTCGGGTTCCGCACCATAATTAATTTTTTTAATATTT